ACGAGGTTCTTATGGAAGCCACGAGCGGCGACGGGAGAGGGTTTCATGGTCAAGGTTGCTTGAAAACTCGTCACGTTTCCAAAGGAGCAGGGTGGACTAGGGCTGATGGACCTTCAGCGTAAGAACCATGCACAACTCAGGAAATGGTTAACTGAAGTAGCGATGGCGGAAGTGAAAGACGATTGGATTTTGCTGGCGGAGAGAATCTTGATGAGGGAGTGGCAGCTATGTAGGGCGGAGGACGTCTGGCTGTGTTTTTTTGTGAAGTCTCTTGCAAAAAAAAAACTGAGTTCAGAGTTTTGGGACGCAGTTCGGAAGGCCTGGCTCCATCATCCGCCAGAAACACAGACCCCCCCAATTACGAAAGAGGAAGTCCTTCGTCAAAGCCTGTCTGAAAATCAGTTTATTCGGGAAGAGGACGGATCCCCCTGCTGACGGACTCTTCACCAGGTTCGTTTGGGAAAATCTGGATCCAGAGGGGGGTGTCCAAAATTTGCAGATCTGTGGTCAGTTCTGCTGGGCAGTTGGAAACCTTTCAGTGAAGTCCAAATGTCGCTCCTGGGCTTGTGGCACTCAGAAGAGCACTGGAGGAGAGTATTGCGGGCAATACCAGAAGAGTGGAAAGCCTTACTGGGTCCAGAGGGGATAGACCCAGTGGGCACCTGGGTCATCCCTCCGCCGACAGCAGGAAGGGTCGAGCTCTGGGAGCTACTAGGTTTGACGAATAGCGGGCTCAGAGAGGTTCGCAAGTGGGTGGTATCGGATCAGTCGGTAGCACTGCTTTCTGCAGAAGATGAAACAATTAGGCAATGGTCGAACCCACCTCAGGCAAGAGTGATCCATAAGCTGAATCGGAGAGGGAGAAGGATGTCCTCTAGGTGGGTGGGTAAGGTCCCTCTTGGCTATCTGGCTATTGACCCGGTAGCGTGGAGTTGGAAAGGAAGTACGTCTGCGAACCCCAATGGACAAATTATGGACCTCTCTAACTTCACAGTGGGACAATCCTACAGGTTAGCTGAGCGGAGAGGGAGGTCTCCAACGTCAGTGTTTGTTGCCAGATGGAGCACAGTGTTAATGGAGGACTTGCAAGGGAAGGAAGAACACTTTGTAATACTGTGGAAAAGATTGCTTAATCTGTTGGATCTCAAGCAAACAAGCCTGTTATGGATGTTATCCATGCTTGTCACTCCGTCCGCTGTCTGGCTCTGCAGCAAAGGAATGGAAACCTGTATGAATTGTACACGATGTACTTGGCCCTTTCAGTCCACCAAGCACCTGTGGTGGGACTGTCCGGCGTCGAGGAGGATTTGGAGGTGGTGGGAAGACCACTGGAGAAGGATAGGAGGGGAGGGGGTGGAATGGAATGAAAGGTGGGTTTTGCTGGGTTTTGTAGGAGGTGAGCAGACAAGGTTGAAAAACTGGGCGTATGTGGCCCATGTGGCGAGGGCAGTGATCTGCTCAGTGATATGGGCAGACAGAAACAGATCCAGGTTTGAACGACGCCCATATTCAGATGGGGAGACTAGAGTCTGCATCAAACGGGGTTTGAGGAGAGCGATTCAAGTAGATTGACGCAAGAAAGCCAACTGTGGCAAGGGTCCAAGGAGGAAGCTTTGGTGGTTTTTGAGGTCATGGGCGAAGGGCAACATGCTGGCCGGAGTACATACAACCAAGGGTCTGGTGCTTTCGAAGTGGTTGTATTCAGAGTAGAATAGAGTCGCTTGAGGGATAGTTAGGGATTAGAGAGAGAAGAGGGAGTGGGGAGCTAGGAGACCAGAGTACTCGGTCGGTAGGGAGGAGGCTAGAGAGTACTTTGACAAACCAGACCACTCGGTTCGTAGGGCCGCAGTGGGCCAGGTAGTGGAGTGATGAGAAATAAGGAATATAGTTCCACCTGGCCGGGCAGGCTGGGTCGTCGTAATAGATGGGGGGAGGGGTTTAGAAATTTCATTACCCAGTCAGGAAGAGGTAGGGTAGGAGATTGAAGGGGGGTGGATGGATATCGAAGGTAGTTCAGAAGGATGGACATTCAACAATACAGTAGGACTAGATTGAAGGTCAGAGTGTGAGATAAAGATTGAGGAAGTTTATGAACAATTGGTCCTCAGTTCTGCTAGGACTGTAAGCGAAACTGGCTGACGCTGCCAGGATAACTCCGGGTAGAATTGTGAGGTCCCCAGCCTCTTTTCATCTGTTATAATATAATTCTGCATGTACCTTTGCCGCTTGGAAAATAGCGGGCCTCCGGTGGGCCTCCGACCGTTTCGGAGGCCGAAACGAGACGACGGCCGCCGATCAGATTTATCAATGGCAGTCGTCGTCGGGCCAGACCTCCGAAAATTCAGGCGATTGGGTAAACAACCAGTTTTCCCTATCTTCCCATGCGGGAAAGGTACTAGTGCCGCTTGGAAAATAGCGGGCCTCCGGTGGGCCTCCGACCGTTTCGGAGGCCGAAACCGCCGCCGATCAGATTTATCAATGGCAGTCGTCGTCGAGCCCGACCTCCGAAAATTCAGGCGATTGGGAAAACAGCCAGTTTTCCCCATTTTCCCACACGGGAAAGGTACTAGTGGTTAAAAAAAAAAAAAAAAAAAAAAAAAAAAAATCTATTCGCGGGGAGCAACACGTGCTGGGAACCGGGGAGCAGGTGGGAATCTTCTAGGGTGGGTCGTGCCACTTTGTAACCTAGTAGTTGGGAGGGTGAGGCCTAGTAGAGACTAAGTATCGGGATATAGGGATGAGGCAGGTAAGGGTGGGCTTCTGAAAGGCTCTAAGGCAGGTATTTCTCGATCTGAATGTTCTTCCAAAAAACAAAAGGGCTGTCTTGTTATGTCTTGTGTTTGCTTTAGCCGGGCAGGTTCTAGTTGTCCGGGCTCTCGCTCCATGATCGTGTCTTTGCGAAAGCAGTCCGCTCACGTCGATGGAATCTGGCTGGTACCCCGATCGGCCCCTTCGGGTTTGGCTGGTTCCTGTTCTGTCTTGTGCTTCGTCATCAGGGCGGTGAAAGTGGGTGGAGGGTGGCTGGGACCCGCGGGTCATTGGAAGGAGGTAGCGGTGAAAAAAACAGCGCGGATTGGGTGGGGGGCGGCAGGGACCCGCCGGTCATTGGAAGGAGGTAGCGCCGAAACAACAGCAAGGATTCTTGCCCTCCATCGTCCTCTAGTTGTCTCCGTGTATGTATTTGGTGTGTTTGTCTCTAGTGGGCCGTCGGCATGCTCGAGGGAACGGGAGTTGGCGGGGATGGAGTTCTGACCGGCCTGCGCGCTGTGCATTTGGGAGTTCCTTTTCTAACGATGATAGAGGGGAGGAACACACGACCAGGATCGGTCCCTTTCTCCGTGTTGCTGTCTGTCGGTGCTCGTTGTCTACGGTGTCTAAGAGAGAGAATGAGCGTGTGTAGGTGTAGGAACGATACCGGTAATTTGCCCGCTACAGTCTATTACGTAGTATGGCAAAGAAGCAATCGAATGCGTGCGCGTGCCTTTTGCGGGCACCACGTAGGTGGACCTGGCGGGGACCGTTGACAGAGCCGCGATACTCGGAGCGATGATTAGCTCCCTGCTGTAGGCGCGGTTGAAGGTTCATCATAGCGTCTAGCTCGTCGGTATTCTCGAAAGAAATTTCCGTTCCCTTCGAGAACGCCACAGACGGACTTCCTTTTCGGTTTTTAGTACAGAGGCCCCGCGCAAACACACATCTCTCTCTCGCCCTCTCTCACACACACACGGAGAGAGAGAGAGAGAGAGAGAGAGAGAGAGAGAGAGAGAGAGAGATTTTACATGCTGCTGCCCATCCTATGGCGGTTGAATCTTATTTTTTATTTATAGGCCTTGGCGCGTTGGCTTTTTTGGGGAAAGGTTTTGAGGCAAGCATGAACCGAGCTGCGGCAGTTTGTGGAGGACGTGTGTGGGAGTGGACAATAGCATGAGCAGTGGTGGACTAACTACTCTGTCGCTGTCGTAGATTCTGAACGCCTGTGAATTTGTCTGACTTAGCGATCCATGCATCATCCACACCGCTGTTCCTCGGAGTCGCAAGTGAAGTGGTCAGTCGGCAAATAACCGGAGGACCACCATTTCGGTTGCCTGCTAGAAACAGCGGTAGCAGCAGCAGCACGAGCGGCGAACGCCCCCTCGCCGTCGTACGCCGTACGCCGGCGGCTGCGCGGGCCAATCTGTCCCGAGCAGGAGCTCTGGTTCGTAGCGGTCAGTCTTTATGTTCCGGCCACGATTGAGTGGCGGACCGCCGTGATCCCTTGTCATTGGGAGAATTTAAGTGGGGACACTGGTTGTCTATACACGAGCGGGAGGAGGAGCAGGAGGAGGAGGAGGAGGAGGAGGAGGAGAGCGGGAAAAGGAGCAGGAGGAGAGGAAGGAGAAAGGGAGTGGTGGCGTAAGGAGAGTGGTAGGAACCGCGCGCGCTCCATTTTTTCCCTCTTTTTCTCACTCGGTTTCGTTTTGCAGTGTCCACAGAGGCTGGGAGAGGAGGGTACGTCAGGGGTCCTGCTCGGAGGTTGTAAATTGCGATGAGGATCGACTGCGATCCCGTACCGTACGTCGAGCTCGTCGGGAGAATCATACCGTGCCTGTGAGCTGGAGCGCTCACATCGAGTGTATTGCCAATTTCCCTCGGAGAAGGCAGAAAATCCTAGCGGCAAGCACAACCGATTCCAATCTCCGCCTGTTCTGTAGACCCGCCCTGCCGCTGTGCCCACTACTGACCCGTGCGTTTTACGCAACTGACTTGGAGTCCTCCTCCTCCTCCTCCTCCTCCTGCTGCTGCTGCTTCTGCTGCTGCTGCTGCTGTTCCTCCTGCTTCTGCTGCTGCTGCTGCTGCTGCTGCTGTTCCTGCCGCTGGAAGTGCTGCCTACGTAGAGGGTAGAGGAATCCTCTGCTACTTTACGCAGCAGGTGAAGCGGGGGTATCAGGCAAGGATTATGCATCCAATGTGTGGCCGGCGGAATGGTGCCGAGGCGCTGGGGCCACCCGCCGTCGGAGTCAGGCTTGTGCCGCCCTTGGTGTCGTCCGCTCTTCGGATGCTGGTGCGGCTGAGGCCTGGGAGTCGACAGGATGAACGGCCTTGATTGGCTGCCTGGGAGTTTTCAGCAAGGCGTAGCTAGGCTGTGTCTGGTTCTTGGAGTGATGCTTCGCGTCGCTTTTAGCCTTGGGATCGCTTATGGCGGGTACGCGCTGGGTAGAGCTTACCCGGACGGCGTCGACGGTTTGAAGAGGTTGCTGAGAGACCGGAACTTAGCAGCGGCGGGAAGTTCAGCGGCCATCGTGGAGAAGAAGGTGATTGGGAACGTGAGAGGGGCTTCGACGAGCCGGCTGCGACCGGAGGCATCGGGATCGGTGGCGACGATTGGAGACGACGAGATCGGGATCGGAGGCTCGGTGACAGCGGATGATGGAGGAGAGAGACAAAGCGTCGGAGGGGAGGAGGAGGAGTCGGAGGAGGAGGAAGGCGACTCCGAGGAGGAGGATTCCGAGGAGGCTGGACCAGGCATGGACATGGAGAGCGAGCGCAGAGGAGAATGGCAGCGAAGGCGAGAGGAAAGGCGGCGACGACGGCAGGCGGAGATCGAGTCTCGAGTGCAGATGGCTTTCGAGAGAGAGAAGGAGAAAATGCAGCAGCTGCTCGCCCGGGAGCGAGAGAGGACGCAGATGCTTCTAGAGCGAGAGAAGCAGAAGGAGAGGAGGAGGGTCGCTGAGGAGAAGGAATTGGAGATCCAGCAACTGCGCAGGGAGCTGGAGAGAGAACGGCAGAAGCAGAGGGACAAGTTGCAGTCGTCGTTCGATCAGGAGTCGGTAAAGAACAAGGACAGGGTGAAGAGAGCCGGTGATGGCGAGGACGGAGGCCCAGAGAGGAAGGCGAAGAAGTATGAGGAGGAGTACCAACGGTGGAGAATAGAGCATCTGAAGCTGCGCGATGACAAGGAAAGGCTGGTCGACGAACTGCGGAGGGAGAGGGATAAGGTGAGGGAGGAGGAGTTGAGACAGAGGAGGGCCGAGGAGGCGAGAGAGAGGCAGTGGATGGAGGTGGAGGCCAGGAAGGACAGGGAAAGGGAAGCTGTAGAACGAGAATTTGTAGCGAAGACGAAGAAACTAGAGTCGGAGAAGCTGAAGCTCAGGGACGACCTGGACAAGGTCTTGAGAGACTTGTACATGGAGCGAGAGAAGGCCAGGAATCGGGAGAGAGAGGAATCACAGCGGGAGTTGGCGCGCAGGAGGAGTAGTGTGATGGCTGCCAAAGAGTCGGACATTGCCCCTGCCAAGGCTATTCCGCACGAAAACACTGTTTTCGACGAATCCACTTTCCAAAAGTGAGTCGTTCATTCGCTTCAACTTTTTTTTTTCTTTTTCCAAATGGTTATTATTCAATTTGTTGTTTCTTCGTTACCTGCTCTTACTCTTCTCGGAAAGGGGATACAACCCATGACGCGCCTGCAATTGCAGAGGTTAAATCCAAAGTTAGCAGTTATCCTTAGGCTATCAATTGCAAGCAGTGTGAAGTTTGTGCCACTCTCTGCCACCACCCGGCGAGGAAGATGAGGACGATGGGTGGGTGAATGATGAGGAAG